TAGAAGCTTCTAGCACTTCATCCAACGACCATCCAAGTGCCATGTGTTGCAATCCAGTTTAAAACCATCTTTTAAGAAAGTTGTCAAAACATAAAACACGACTTTTTCTTCTAATTTGAAAGCACACTTTAAACCAGGTCCAAGGTTCGAAACTCAACACTTTGGGTTGGTTTTCCTTTCAAAACATTGTTCAGTCCAGCTTGAATTAATAAATCTCTGACCTGTACTTGCCACAAGCCAAATTGATTCTCCTGTCAAATTCCTATACGTCATATTTCAAGGAGATATTTTTCTGTTGCTCCAATACTCCGAACCACCTGACGATCTGATAATGCTTGTTAGGAAATTTTACGCCAATTCCCTTTATTTCAATTTACCCGCAGGATCTTTTGATGTTTAGGAGAATATTAGCAAACAAAGAAAAGATAAAGAATATAAGGCACAAATTAAACGGACTGTCAGAACTTTTCACTATATAAAAAATTATTGTAATCATATATAATTTCACTAACCAAATTCCAAAGTATTACATAGAAAAAAAAAAATTCAGCAGCCAAATACCCAATTTCCTCTCTCCAGTGCGTGTCTATGAGTTATATATATAACTTTGCTTCCAGCTGCCTCTTTTCTTCTTACTGCCTTTTTCTTGAGTAAATATATATCTCAGCCACTAATGCATATATAGCCGCAATATTTGACTCTCTTCCACCCACCCAATGTTTTGTATAATCTCTTTGTCTGCCTCTTTTTTTCTCTGTGACCGAAATCTTGGCTGTCAGCTCTCTAATTTCTCTCGCACAGGCCACTTTTCTTTTCTCTCTCTCACACGGGTCACAACCCAAAAAATATGAAATACATCCACTATTTATAGGATCAATAATTATCTTTATTATTTGCAATAGAAGTCTTTCAAATTTGACTTTTGAAGCAATTACCTAACACATTCGAACTAAATGGATTCATGGAATATCGGAATCGGTTCCGTGTGAACTGATTAATCCATAGCAAAATTCATTTTCAAATTTGATGAAGAGAGGGAGATTCAAACATTTGTAGCTTCTGTGGAACGTTAAATGCTTGACCATTATGATACTTGTAGAACCTTAAGAATTTGTGTGAACAAAACATATATATATATTCAATTCTAGTAAAATGACAAATAAAAAATATTTTTTAATTACAATTATTAGTCTAACAATGACCCATCGATTGAACCATTGATTCCATGACACGATGATTTAATCGGTCGATTCTCATAACTATGGTAAATACTAGACAATATTGAATCCTAACATAAACATTGTTTAAGGAAAAATCCCACATCGAATATAGATCAACAAATAAGAATTTGAGTCCTCTTAATAATATTTATCTTTTAAGATGAAAAAAGTAAATTATTGTTATTTATTTATTTACGGTTCATACTCCGGACATAATATGCATTTATCATGTTTTATGATTTTTTTCCCAATTAAGTTGTCTGAATATAATTTTATACATTATTAAAATAAAATTTTTCATTTTTAAAATAAACTAACTCAAATTGGATCTTTTTAAACATAAATTGATTAATTCAAAACAGAAAAGAAATAAAGTTATTTAAAAATATTTTTAAAAAATTAGTAAGGTCTTTTAAACTACAAATTTAAATAATGAAACTCACTGGCATAAATAACGTAAAATATGATTTTCATGAATTATTTAACAAGAAATCTATAAAATTGTAATCATTAATTTGAGAAACACTTGGAGTCATTTCTTCGGAAAGCTCGAATCTACAATTTAAAGTAATTTAATTTTTTTACCGTGCTAAAGCGAGACGTGTCACGTCTTCAAAATTCGAGATAATGCAAATTATATTTTCATAATTATTTAATAAAGCTTGTATAAATGTGCAACCTCATAAATTTGAGAAACACTCGAAAACTTTTTCTTTTGAAAGGTCGAGAACATAAAAGACGTTTACGTTTGAATAAACAATACAATTAATTTGGCACAACATTAAAATATCTCAAATTTTCCACGTGTCGACTAAGAATAATAAAATATGACGTGAAAATCGTTGTCTAAAAATAATCCCATCTTAATGCATTATAAACATACGACATTTGAAAAAAAAAAAAAAACTTTTACTTGTCGATGTGTCCATAACTCGTAGGTCATCACAAACCCAACATCATATGTACGATCATCTAAGCACCTCATCAACTCTCATATAATCCCGGTTCCTGAAATATTGCGATTCGTGGAATGAACACACACTTGTTTAGTGAGCAAAACACGGTGCACTTGTGTGCATTGCACTTTCACCTAAGCAGCAAATTCAGTGTACATGACAATTAATTTAAGGTATACATAACAAGATTGTAACTAAGATCTCAGTAACTAATAATGATTAACAAATAATCGAGATAACTGATGAGTGAGTTTCACTCATTATTTTTAATGTCACTTAATTAATATTAGAATTGATTATATCTTTTCTATTATTCATGAACTAAATTTTAGAACTAGTATTTGATGTAACCTCACTTGAGACATGTTTGGATTTTAATATAGTTATTTCATCCAGTTTTTCCATAAGTTTATTTGTGTTAATTCTTGCACATTGCTTTCAATTACCTGACAAATAGTTGAATGGTTTGATATTATAAATTTCGGTACTCGAGAGAATAAAATTTAGGTGTAATCTTAGAATAGCACAACCTAAGAAATTATAGGTTTCAAGAAAAAGTATAATTCTTTTTAGGCTTATTCTATTTAAGAACCACGCACTTGACAATTTCTAGATTTTAATTCTAAATAAAAATATTGAATTAAAATATAGAGATAGGTTCTATTAAGCACTCAAAAGAGGGAATAAAATTAATTTAGAGTTCTTGCTTATAAATTTAGAAAAAATTGATAGAAGTAGCTATAGAATTTGAAAAACATTGTTGAGAGTGCGGTGAAATCATTCCCTAGACTTTCTCACTTTGATAAATCTCTCGTACAACTTACATTGATTTAAAAATTTGATTCAAAAATTTGATTTTCTAGATAGAACAGAGACTAAAATAATTATAGTACTCCGTAGAAATTGAATCTCAATCCCTATGAGTTTGACATTCTTACTTAATCTTATATTACAAAATTTGACACTATCCACTTGATATATAATTACGTTATACAAAATGCGTAACAATAATAACAGTGTCCCGTATGACAAAGGTGATTGGCCATAACAAGTTGATGTCAATCTCAAACCGGGGTTGATCCTTACCAAGATTTAAGCACTATCTTAGTTCTATCACCCATCTCAAAATCATAAAATTGCTCCCATATAGTGCATAACAAGAGGGTGGAGTATATGTAGTCATGTATGAAATTGAAACGAGATGTATGTAAACATTTTTTCTAAAAAAATTATACACGTATTTCTAACATAATTTCACAAAGTCAAATTTCAAGATATCAAGTACATCGATCATTACTATCAAAATCAAGGTTCAAGATAGAAGTATGTTGATCATTATCATCGACACGTAGATGTACTTTTGCATATAAAACGTATAAAATATCCACTCAACCTTAATAGTCGAGATTCCACTTTAACTTAGATAGTGGACCCTTTTTTAGCCACTGCCCATGGGAGTCTACTCTTTATACGAATAGGGTTGCCGAAGATGAGAAAAGAGACCATATCATTTTATGGCTTTGGTAGGCAGTGGACTCCAACAAGGATTGAATTTCGTTGAAAAGTTTCTGGACATAATGCTTCGCTGTACGTTTTTTAATCTAGTATAATCGAAAATAAATTTCGTCATTTTTAATGTTTTATAGATTGTAGTGAAGGCTCTAAAAACGCTCAAAATATAGGAAATAAACATTTAAATATTTTAAAAATAAATTTTATTATATAAAATTCTAATAAATACAAATATAAATTCTAAAAACCAAAATTCTAAACTTCAAAAAAATATATTCAAAAAAATTAAATAAATAAAAATTTGTTAAATTCTAAAAAAAAAAAAAAA